ACCTAATATTTAGTATGCTTTAAGTTCAAATCAGTGAATTTCGAACGTTGTTACATAGGGCGTACGAGGCAGGGGGGCGGGTTGGCAGCCCAAAAATGTTAAATTCATTTTATTTCATTACTGATGATCCTCCATAAAAAATCGGGCAAACTTTCAACTATACCCCTTCCACCAGAAAGCATCAGTCCCGTACGCCTATGCTTTGTTACTTAGAATAAATTGTATCAAATGTAAGTACTGTAAATGTCTTTCAAAAACTCATTAATAATTCATGAAGAAATTATCCAATCTTGAGTAAGAAATTAGTCACGTGCATACGTCTTTATACCAGCTAAAGAACACTTTAACAAAAGACCATTGTTATATGCAAACTATATAAAGATTTTTATGTAAAGATTTTTATATAAAGATTTTTATATAAAGATTTTTATATAAAGATTTTTATATAAAGATTTGACTTATTATGCAAACGTTTTTGAAGCCATTTAAAAAACTCGCAGGTTGTGTTTTATTAGGTCTGAAGCCACTCGCGCTGGGCGCTTATGGCTTTAAACCTAATAAAACACTCCATCTCGTTTTTAGTAAATAGTACTTAAAAAACTCATTAATAATTCATGAGGAAAATACAAAAGAAATTAATGTTTAATCAATGTTTGTAAATATATCAGATAAAGATTTGTCCTGATTTACATAAACTTCAGCTTTTATTTTCACGACTTTGACAATGTTTATTTTTTAAATTGTTTCGCCAATGAACTCATAAGATGGTCCATTTTTCTAATTATAAGCACGTTAAAACATTCGCATCCGATCTTTATCTGATATACAACCTCTCGCCTTCGGCTCTACTGTAGTTTGTATATCAGATAGAGATCGACTGCTCATGTTTTAATTTAACTAGAACATACTGTTACAAATTCTTCAGTGTAATGCAATCAACATGTCAATACGCCATATTCCGTTGAATTCATGCATGAAACTACTATCGAAGCATGAATTGTTCAAATCGATGGTTTAACTCATCTGAACATCGATATATAATCTAAAATAAAAAGAAAAATACATATGCATGTCAATCAATGGTCGATATATGTCAACTGATCACTGATGATGTAACCATTAAGCCTGCGGAGTCAAACCAGTATTTCGCGGCCATGCAGTATTTTAGTTCCCAATCTGTATTAATCCATTATAATCACATCAATGTGGTATATGCAGATGTTCTAATCATTATGATAAAAATTTATGATAATTCCCTTATACGCGCAATAATTCAATGAGGTGCAAAGCAGTTCATCAAACAATATACTGACATGTCAATATTAATCTATATTTAATTTTAAAGAAGTAATAATCGATCATTGAAGTCTTCAAACATGGAAAACAAAAGTTGCTCACGGTTTTATATGAGGAAACTTAATAAGGCTATGCAGATCAAACGAGGGTGAGAGTGCACTGATGAGAGTTGGCAGTCACGCGAACTTGGTTAGCTGTTCTCAATACTTTCCCAACACTATCATGCCATCCACTTAAAGAAAAACGTGGTTGGAACATTAATCAAACCTTTATTTTGTTAATCTAGAGCTTGCATGTCCCCTGTAACAACGCGTGACTGCTAACGCCCATCAACTTTCATACTCGTTTGACTGGGAGCTTTATAATCCATGCAACATTTTTTATACTTTTTTTGGATTGATCCCGATCTAATTTTATCTTTGTACCAACAACTGGTATTCAGAAAACTGTAATTCTGTAATTCACGATCATGCAATTAATATCAGTACAGTATGTTATATAGCCTGAGAACACTGTCTGATTTTATTAGTTTGTTGTCACTAATATCTTAAATTTGTAAATTGTGTTAGGATTTTAGACTATATATAGATCTAGTTGGATAGAATACGTTAAAGCAAATGCAAGACACTTATAATTTGTATACAGTAGTAGTCATACTGATCCGAAGTATTCGAGGAAATGTTCACAATATATTCGAACGAACTGTGATTGAAATGTTGTTATTGTTTATAGAGGAGACATAATTATACTGTACTGTAGTATTCCCATACACTTGCATGTGACAGTTACATCCTGTAAGAATACCTCAATATCGCCTATAGTATTCAAAGAAGCTATTTGAGGCCAGCTATAATTAAGGGGCAATCTCCTTAGTATACATCAGCCTGTATCTTAAATCACCCTAGTTCGCCTTATATTGGATCTACAGTTGGCCGCGAGTTACCATCCCAAATAAGGATTGCTTTCCATCTCAAACGCCATATATTCTGTATATGTGAAACATTCTTTCGGAATGCATGTCTATTTTCAGCTAATTCAAAAAAGGTTGTCCTTCCAAAGTCTATTTGTCTCTCAACCTTAGACCTTAAACTCTAAGGGCGAAAAGTGCAATATGAACGCTCTCCATCGCCTGTAATTCTTGGCTGTATGCATGGACAAGGATTATGACACTTATATAAGCCTTTCTGACCGAAACCGGCAAACACTGCGGCCTCCCATTCCCCTTTTCGCGTTTAGAATTTAAGGTTAAAGGTTTAAGCGGGTTTATAGTTTTGAAGGAAAAGCTTTTTTGAATTAGCTGTATCGTGCATGCATGTATGCATGTAATACTATATGCAGTCGTATCTCAACGAAGATTTGTTCTTAGAGCCGAAGAGCGAGCCATTATAGTTACACGAATCCCAGTTTCCAAAGAAAACAGTTCGCTTATAGTATAAGTATATAAGTACGGGCTGATTTCTCTCGGCGACATTATCAAACTGACTATATAGCAGCAAATCTAAAAGCCCTGTCACACTATTGCGTATGAGAGAAACGTATATGAGAAGCGTATGAAAATGAATGAAATAATTTTCATACGCACAAAAATCCTTTGAAACGCCCGCGTATGAGTAACGTACATCTGGCGTATTCAGCGTGTGCCTAGAGTATGCTTATCGTATAAAGCATACATCCGATACGCACAAAATTTTTGAGCATGCTTAAAAAAAATTTTCTTCCTCGCCGTATGCCAGCGTATGCCACCGTGCGCGACCGTGCTTGAAACGTATACAACCTATGCCCAACGTACCCCTAGCGTATGTCAGCGTATACCGGCGTATGAGTGATATTTTTCATACGCTGGCATACGCTAGTACGATACGCAATAGTGTGACAGGGCCTTAAACAAAGAAATGAGAATTTGGTGTGACTCGGTATCTTTAGTTATCATGCAACAGTTGCATACCTGTAATGACAATTACAGCATTAGCATGTTTTCTGTGTGATAAACAAGTTAGAGCCCTGGTGTAACCTCGTTACAGATCTAGAGTTGATGAGAGTTTGCAGTCACGCATATTGTATGCGGGGGATATTTGAAGCTCTGGATGAATTAAGCCGGTTTTCCACTAGGCGGAATTTTGCGCGCGGAGCGGAATCTTTCTTTGTCTTTTCTAATTAGTTCCACCCGAGAAATCACAAGACAAAGAAAAAATCCGCTCCGCACGCAAAATTCCGCCTAGTGGAAAACCGGCTTTAATAAAATAAAGGTCTGGAGCGTGTTCCAACTATATTTTAGCTTGAATAGAAGACATGATAGTGTTAGGAAAATATAAGAATTAACAGCTACTGTATCATGTGACCAAGTTCGCTTGACTGCCAACTCTGCATACACTCTCAAGGCTAGTTTCCACTCCGGAAAATTATCCGTGGATCGGGACGGATAGGACAAGAGAATTTTTCTTTGCCTTGTGGGTTCTGGGTTCGAACTAATGACTTTAACACAAAGAAAAATTTTCTTGCCCGTTCCATTCCACGGATAATTTTCCTGAGCGGAAACTAGCCTTTATCCTCGTTTGATCCGGTCTTAAGTTTTATATATATATAATCGTGAATGACCCTGAATCTCCAAGTTTGAAGACTTCAACGATAGGACTATATTGTTCGGATTGATAGGGATGGAGCTACATGAAAAATACAAGCGACCCTTCGCGGTCGGGTAGTTCAAAACTAGCTAAAGCTCCGATCAAACGAGAATGAGATTGACAAGAGTTGATGAGAGTTGGCTGTCACGCATTGTTAGGCGGACATTTCAAGCTCAACTAGATTAACAAAATAAAGGTGTGATATATATGTACTAGATAAAACATGAGCAGCCGATCTCTATCTGATATACAAACTCGAGACGAAGGCGAGAGTTTGTATATCAGAAACAGATCGGATGCGAAAGTTTTATCGTGCTTAAAAAATGACCCATCTTATGAATTTTAAAAATAAACATTGTCTAAGCCAAGAAAATCAAAGCTGAAGTTTATGTAAATCAGGACAAATCTTTATCCGATTTACAAACATTGATTAAACATTCAATTCTTCAGTTGTATTTTCCTCGTGAATTATTAATGAATTTTTTAAATATAAATGTTCCAACTACGTGTTAACTTAATTAAAATACATGCATGATTGTGTTGGGAAACTATTATAATGACAGTATTCCATAACCAAGATGGCGTGACTGCGAACTCTCATCAACTCTCATCCACGTTTGATCCGGATATGAAGGCTGGTTTACACTATCAAAGTTTCTGTGATCACAGTAGGAATTTTGCATCGGCATATTCTACGTTTTGAAGAATTTGTGAGAGTTCTTTGAGGGAACTGACTCATTGTTCAACACTGAGTCAGTTCTCTCAAACAATTATTGCAAATCCTTAAAAACGTAGAATTTACCTATGCAAAATTCCTACTGCGCATGCACAGAAACGTTAATAGTGTAAACCTGCCTTAATTTAAGACTGTACACAGGACCGAGCGATTTTGGAACCGAGTACGATGCACGATTTCGCCGGTGTGAACGAATAAATCTGGATAAATTCGATGACAGCTAACCTTGCGATTCCCATATGAACCAGTGGAACTGCACGGTCTGGGAAGATTCGCGTTCCGTCCCCCAACTCATCCACTCTCTTGCATGTGAACATGATCTAAAAATATGATAATTATTATTCCAGAGATTTCTATACGAATACTGCAGTGCAGGTAGAGGGTTTGGCAACCGACAACGGCAAATAAATAAAATTACTTACATGTATGCTAGCCAAAGTATAGCTACATTACTAAATTTTATTTGCCTCTTTATACAATTTTAAGTATAACAATCGTCAGTAAATTCAGATAAAATACCCCACACGACTTCGAACGTTTTAACTGTTGGCGTGGTTATGAGCCGTGAAAATGATGGAAATAACGTAGCTGTTTCTACTTGGCGTACCAGAATGCTCAAGGGAATATAATACTCGATATAGTCGCCATTTTCTTTGCGGAGTAAAATTGCCATTGTTGATGAGCACGTCTTCATTGACGTTGCTGTTATTTTTGCCAAACTCACTATCTGCTTTAGGACAGACAGAAAACTGTTCTGACATGCAAATTACATCTAAATTACCGAGCTATGGTACAATATACATGTATAGCAATACGGAAACACTGTAGCTTGTCCTAATGTGCTTTATATATAGGGCAGACACAGTCGTCAATTCCGACATGATTTGTGGGAGGTTCCAATTTCGACTTTTTACTCGAGGCAATTGTATATGCAGCAAGTATAGACGGGTAAGTTTTACTTGCAAAAGAGCCTTGTACATGTTCCAAAACTAGTCATGCCAGCTTTTGGGCAAGCGGAAAATTTATTCGTGTTTATACACCGCCGCCAATTAGGAAAACTTGACAAGTGTACAACAAATACTTCCATGATGGTTTTGGCAAACAAAATGTGAAAAGGCGGCGGCCCAAGACGTGAGATAAGTGTTTAACAACATTCGTATGCACGAACATGCAAGACTTGGAAAGACCGTGGAAAACTTGTTGACCGTACACACGAGAAGATAAACGTCTCAAGGAAAACTTGCTTGCCGTGTAGGTCTTCATGTTCACATGCACATGCTGATGCAGTACATTTACTTCCCCTTTATATAGAATCTTATACCATAACAACTGAATATATTAGGTTGTTTTAATTAAACATATGAAAAATACTTGTTGCGTGCATGTCAGTTCACTTTAAAAAGTTTGCGCCTGGGTCGTATGGTTTGTCAAATATTTTGGTTTGATTGGACTATTTAACTGCTTAAAGGTCCATACACACCGGACGCGATTTTTCGATTTTCACTGACCGATAACTTTGATCCTAGTTTAAATTTTACAAATATTTTGAAGCGCTGTCATTTTGAGTTATTTGGTCTACATACTTTTAAAATTTGCTCTCATTGGCTGTTTTATTAACTTTCAAAAACTAAAAAATCGCGTCCGGTGTGTATGGACCTTTAGTCGTTTAAACTTATTTTGTGTTAACTCAACACTGGAAATGTCTGAATTTATTGCGTATTAGCCACCGATCAAGCTATAAATGCATATTTTATATATTATCTACCTTATCTTTAGCTACAATTTCCTTTATTATGATTATCATGTGCATGTATTGTACATATTTACCTATTTATTTCTAGTAAGTGTGAAGTATTTAAAACGTAAGTGTTCTGTCAACACTAAACTTGAGAAAATGATGTAGTGTCGTCTTAAAAGTGTGAAATTTCTCAGGGCTATTCAAATGCCATTCTTGTTAATATTCAACATGCTTCGAATTCCTCGCAACGCAAGTCATCACATCTTGTTGACTTTGGCAGAAAGCTGCCTGGTTAATCAGGAAATATTATTACATTGAGACTCATGGGCAATCAATACAGGGAAATATAGACAAAATATATTTTGGTGCAGCAAAAATATAATCTTATCATGCGAATTATGATATCTATATGCATGATTTGCATGTCCATAGAATATCTATAAAGTGCTGCTTTTGTTCTAAGGTGGATAGTATTCAAAAATCACGAACAATATGATTCGGTTAAATGTGACAAAAAGCTGCCGTCCTTCTACTGTTATTTTTTGCAAAGCTATATAATTATCATAAATATCGATCTTTTCATTTTTAATTCAAGTATACTGGTAACTCCTCAATGAAAAATCCTCAATAAAACAATATCACTAATGTTTTATACATGCAGAGTGCAAAAAACAGTGAAACGACGTTCTATTTCATATGCACTGTATACTGTAGATTCACGGGTGTGTTTGAGCTGATGCCGCATATTTGTGCCATGCAGTTTATCATATTAGCGATATTTTTAATCTATCTAATCCGTCAATAAGAGATAACTTCCGAAACTACTTGAGGAGGCCAAATCGCATGCATCGTTACTGGCATACTGCTCAAGGCAATAGCCAAGTTTTTCGGTTTGTTTTATAAATTTCCTTCCCGTTCATTATCCGTTTGACTGGCTTTATTTCGCGTAATTTCTCTTCATTCCAAAGAACCTTCGTTATATACCGGCTGTTTATAGAATGCATGAAGAGTTTTAGTGCGATTATTTAATGAAGGATATATGTACGATTATTTTAGGAACATTTCACTCCAATGCAAGTAATGCAGTCGAGTGTATTTTTGTTCACGAAAAATTACTAAAGAATGCTAAATGGTCAATATAGCTATATATACAGGATTAAGGATTTTCCTCGAGTTCCATATTACTTCTAATTCTTGAAAATCTAATGTATTATATTCAATATCTACAGCAGAAATTGCGGTTAACCTCCAAAGCCATCTTATCACGTTCAACAATGTTGTGATTGAAATAATAAACGAATTGCGTTAAATATTTAATTCACGAGATTTTCTGCGGGGGACACATGCAAATACATATAATATAAGAACACTTCGATGCCTATAATATATAACAGTCATTGCCGCATATAGCAACAGCTTTATAATAATTTACTCCTAAAAATATATCCATTAACGCATACGCAACAGCCTTATAATAATTTACTCCCATAAAAATATATCCATGATTAATGCGAGCATCTTTACTTTTGAAGTCTTTATTTAGACTATTGTGAATGCTCTCACTAATTCAGTTCAAATAACTATCCTGGCGTTATAATTATATATATATATTAATTTCATAAAGCCGTGTTTCCATATGGTCGTAACGGTCGTAAAGATTGAGTCACGATCTTTCACATCAGCGCTAGCCTGACTGATACAACATTTTAGATCTGAAAATTGCCGATTAAAACTGAGTGAGTGATTATCAAACTATAGAGAATACTTATGATTTATATGTGGTTTACTGGTATATATATAGACTATTATAAACTGGCTGTTGGAAAGATCGAGACTCAGTGGAAACCAGGCTTTGGGTTATATATAAGACATACGTATATATACATATAGGCCGGAAAAGTACGTCTAAAGACTAATATTTCGACAACGTCACTCGATGAACAGGCTGTGTGATTCACGGGCAAAAAGGCGTTCTGAGATGACGAATACAATACATGTAATGATATAGTCAGTATTGTCTGCCGAAATTTTGATGATGAATCACATTATTTGGGATCATGCGCTTCATTAGAATTTCGAGCGGTATAGTGCTCTAGACTGTATCTAGATTTGTCAAAATTTAGCTGACAATTTTCTTAATTCCTCATACATCAGATATTCGATATTTGCCGCCGAAGATATGCCTGGTAAATAAGATTGAACTAGATTTCAATTAAGATGCGAACATGCATGCAAAGGCGATATTTATCGCTCATTCCTCTAGATAAAGTTATTAACATAGGTCTATAGAATTGACTGGAATACTTGTCAAACAATGCAGAATCACACAAATTGCGTGGCCAATTTAAATATAAATCTTCGTGTCAAGTATGGCATGGCTATATATATATATATATATATATATATATATATATATATATATATATATATATATATATATATATACACTACAGTACAGTACAGTATATCACTGCATCACTCTGTGTGTACTGTAGCAAGTTATACAAGAGTTGTGTATATTTAGTCATCAGTAGGCCTATACATAGGTTGACTTTCAGCAGCAAAACCAAATTTACTTACAATGTAAATCGATATCTGTCATCTTGATTCTTGAAACCGTAAGCCGTAATTCGTAAGGTGTCAAGCCTTACACTGCATCATATCTTTCTTTCCCGAATGGTTAACTTCACATAATACAGTAATAGACTATAAGGTTAATCCGCTTTGTTGATAAAAGACAAAAGTAGATTTTATCAATTATTATCTTTACAACTTTAGTATATCTTTAAATACAGCAATTAGCACTTAAACAAAAGCAGTCGCGTTTACTCATTAGTTTCAAATTGTACATTAGATAAAGTGCATATTCAAGTGTATTAAAAGAGCTAAGTGTTTTGTTTTTCTTTCCGGTACAATGAAAGGCCTGCATCCTAAATACTGAATAAATATAGCAGTCATGCTTTGTATATTGTATCTTGCAAGCTGCAACGACTACATATTATCACCTGAATGGTTGTTTTAGTGTAGATAAACAATATGTTATGATTATTAACTACAGTGATCGGTAAAATTACTACATGAGTTCGTTTTTTCTAAACATGGAAACCCTGAGTGCGTCAAGAATTATTTTTACCCTCTCATTATAAATAAAGTATTGATTCAAAACGCTGGATACTTGCTCCCCTAGATCGCTCTATTATCATGCAGCCGCAAACCGTAAATTGATCAAGTTGAGAGAATATTCTTGCGCTCGCTTGCAAGATGTTTGATATTGCTTCACCGGTGTAAGAAAAAAGTTGCAATTAATCAATTACTTTGTTCTAACGAGCAAGGATCTTACATCGGTCACGCTTCGCGTTGTAACTGTATCCCTGCATGTGTTGGAAAGTATGTATACACAAAACCCGAGCGAATTTCAAAACACCCACCTTCATTGGTAGTATAATGAGTGCTCCAACCAGCCTTTCATTGCAATCCAATAGTCTGTTTGTAGTTGAAAATGTTGTGCTTCGTCATAGTGTTAGGTTTTGTTAGCATTAGCTATAGGTTGTGAACATTCAAATGTTATTTATAGTGTTCATTGTGAATTCATGTAGCTTACAGCTGTGATCACTACATTAACGATATACTGCAACCCATGCCTAGCTAGCAATCTCAAAATACTCACAGCAAGCAAACACTTACTTTCTGCTAATACATCATACACAAAATTTCGTGCTTGTGTTATAGTCCTTTCGTGTAAGATTGCGCATCAAACATCAAAATGCTTTCAACACCGCCTCCTAAACTGGTAGGAGGCCGGACAAATTAAAATTCTATCCAAACGGTAAAGAAGATTAATTTTATTTATACAATAGTAAGAACCCCCTGCACTGAAATCAACGTATAAAGTTCGCTTATGTTGGATGTTTTTCTCTCCGGGCAGAAAACATGTTAGCCGCTGTGGCATTGTGGTGATCATACCAAGCTTACATTGATGTTTTGATGAAAAAGATATAGAGTTATGAACGGCAGGAAACAATAGTTATTGCTCTAAATACACGGCACTTGTCGGTCTTTTAACATCAAATGATAAGATCTGAAGGGGAGTGGTTATCCAATTGAGATCTTAACGCCTTCGTAAATTGACCTCTTATTCAACTATTTGTTCTACAACGCATCACTTTCTCGCGTTAAATAAAAAAAGGCGGGAAACGAAGCACGCGAGATAAAACACTTTAGTTTCGAGTACAGCTTAAGAGGCAGTGAAACCTAATTGATTATTTATCAAGAAATCTTGCGAGTGTATCCCGCTAAGATTGTTATATTTCCTATGTGTTAATCCGGAAACCTCTCGTGTGGTTTGCCCGCAGAAATATTCGTTTCATGGCTAATAGTTTCACCTTTCTCATCTCTTTCGAGGGGTAGAGAAATTTGAAGCCGCGTTTTCAAAGTAAGGGAACATTTTGTACTTATGCTACCCCATAGCGAGGCCTTTGTCTGTAGACTAATGAAAAATCTGTATGAAGCCCAGTGCTTGGCGTTATAAATTGCTTTTCATTTGCAATGTTGAACAAGAAATATATCGTGCTGATTTCTAATCATTTGTTTCATACAATCAACACACACTGAGGAGCTTACGGTATATTCACTAAACCAACAGGTGACATTTAGCCAACTAGACCAACTGGAAGTCTCACAAAACTCATATGAATCATATCCTCGACTAAACCTTGTCGCGCTTTTACTCGGTCGAAGGCAAGTACTAAGGAAAGAGCGGCATAACTATAAGTACTGTCCTAGTGTTCTAATCCGCTGGTGTTGAGTGATTGCCTCTGAATTGAATTGCATCTCATTTTGACGTCGAGCAATCAATCACACAATCTCGTCACAGGGACACATATGTAAAGAACGCCTCCTCAAGTTTTACACTCACTACGCTGTTTTGACAGAACGTAGAAAACAGTGAGCCTCAGCATTCTCACAGCGAAAAGTTCAAAGGAAGTTCCACACGGCACGAAGGTTATGGAATCATATCAACGCATCATTGGAAATCAAAGCGCCGGATTTTCTCATTCAAGTGAAATCAGTAGCATGACTAAAGAAATGTGCAACCACATTGAACCAAGTGTGCCAATATTCCCTCATCTCCCGGCTGTGAGTACAAGACTGACAGAAAATTTGGCAGATAACCGACCATCATTCACATCACAACCCTACGTCTTCCCCTCGCCTTGGTCCTCACAAAATCATCACCGTCCTGGCTCGTATGACCGCCTTGACATTTCACATCCAAACCATGAGCATTTCTACAAACCTCCTACACACAACCCAGTATTCCCACCATCATACTCACCTATTTTCCCCTCTACAACTCAAAGCCACAGTCCATGCAACCCTTTAGTGTATCCTGGTAAAGAGCACAAGCCGGGTAGCAGTAATATTTACCCTTCAGAAGCAGACGTGGTGAGATCTCACTACCCTGGCTTCCCAAACCATGCAGATCCTGGCATGTATATATACCCAGGTTATGAGTCAACCGTTTACCAACATCAAGCAGGACCATATGGCCCGCTATACCCTCCTAGACCACCACAACATCAAATACTAACCTGTGAATGGATTGATCCTCAATATTTCCCCAAATGTAAACCGTGTGGCAAACAGTTCTCAATGATGCACGATATAGTCCGTCATATCAACGACGACCATGTCAGTCAAAACGATTCATCCCTTCATGTCTGCCATTGGAAGAACTGCTCTCGGAACGGCCTCCCTTTTAAAGCAAAGTATAAACTCGTTAACCATATTCGTGTTCATACTGGGGAAAAACCTTTTGCGTGTCCATTTCGTGGCTGTGGCAAGTTCTTTGCGAGATCAGAGAATTTGAAGATTCATAAACGGACCCACACAGGAGAGAAACCGTTTGTTTGTGATTTCCCGAACTGTGACAGACGTTTTGCGAATTCGAGTGATAGAAAGAAACATTCCCATGTCCATACTTCAGACAAACCGTACACTTGTAGGATTAACAGTTGTGGAAAGAGTTATACTCACCCAAGTTCGTTGAGGAAACACATGAAACTACACGGCGAGGGCGAGGATGATTCACGACTCGACGACGATGACTATCCTTCCCCAAATAACTCTCCTTTACCAAATGAAACAAGATCAAAATCTCAAGCAACTGAAACAACAAAGGCTTCGACTTCTTCATGGTATTAAATCTATTTGTATAATATTGTAGTATACTAGAACAAACTTATATTGGCTTTGTAGATTTGAAATCAGAACCATTTTTGGGATGTGCATTGATTTCTGATTTGATCCTCAGATCAGAACCTAATTTAAGCGATAAAATATGAAGAGACAAACAAACGTAAATTAAATGCATATACCTTGCTACAACAGCTTGGTATTGCCTTAATAGATGGGTCATAAATGATTTCTGATCAAGACATATTTTCAAGGGACAATACATGTCTTGAATGTACATAGGTCTGGATTGATTGCCAGGAAAAAAAACTTCGTAAAAGATAAGATATATGAACATGCAACTAAAACTTATATATCAAACACGATCGATTATATATGTTTGAATCAGTAAGATAATATTCGAATGAATGGGACATAAAAATATTCAATATTTTTCTGTCTGAAGGGACTTTATAGTCGAGGGCATACAAAGACAATAGCTGTGAGGTAGACTTAATCTTGTTCAACTCAACTCGTTCAACAGATTAGGGGAAGGATTTATCTATTTTATCTCGCATCAAAATGTAAGAGTTTAGTTTCAGATATTTTTAATATTCAGGTAAACAAAACGATAGGCGAGTGTTCTTGTTAGGAATTTAATATTGCATGTGTAGTCATATAGCTATGAAGCATCATTCAGTGAAAATTAGCCCACTAAGCTCAGTGTTGCTATTGTTAAGCCTGAGCTCACTTTTATTGAATGTTAGGATTCAGATTAAGCGGAAAATGTTTCTGATAGGATACTATAATAATTTAACTATACATAAAATAATATAATAGGGTTTAAGGGAGAAGTATTGTATGTAATGCCATGGACGAACTGCAGTGCTTAACAGCCTACGGGATTAACTATGGATCATTGAAGTTAGTAAAAAAGGTAGTATAGAATAGTTTACTTCAACTTCTACAAACCATGATTTCGCTTTAAGAAAAACTAGTACATATTTGGGTAGTTATAAAAAGCTGTTTTCCCAATGCTTGAAATATAGTGAGAATGGTGATTGCATGGCAATGTACTTTGACAAAATCTTTGACTTTCGTCTTTTGTATCACAATATCGTTCAGAATAGCTAAAAATCATTATAAGGAAATCTGTATGCCATTTCAGATATTATTGTTCGTCTCCATAACAAATTGTAGATTTTTAAAAGAAAATTGCTTTCCAAAAAGAGGATCGATAATTCGCAAAATGCAAAGGGCGTTCTCTTTGCTTCTATTTGTACAGCACAAAGAAGCTTAGCTCATTTTTGTGCCTGCAGCTTTCATGATTTTCTGGTAAATATCAAACTTAATGTGCTTGTCGTTCTCTAAAGGAATCCTTTCAGCATGAGAAAATTTACTTTGGTTTCTTGGAAATACATTTAGTCTTTTAAATTTATAAAAAATCTTAAGTGGCAAAATTAATTTTCAAAACAATGGTTAAGAACTCTTTGTCTTTCTTCGCACTTGGAAATTCCAAAGCCTAGCTTTTATACCATATTCTAGAAACTGAGTTGGATCATTGTTTTTGATAAAAGTGAAAACGATACTAGGTAAAGTTTACCAAAGTCAACGGCTTTTAATAAACGAAATCATAAACGACAAGACAATTTAATGCAGAGTGATAAATGTATTAAATGCATGCTTTTCAAATTTCAAATCTTATTAGACAATATAGAAAAGCTCGCTACGTTTGGTTCAGATAACTCTACGAAGTCAAACCTTAACATCGTTTAAACTTAGCAGAGCATAATGTGTAAATGCATAAGAAATGTATTATAAGCACAAAAGCAATCGTGTTTAACATATAAAACCATGTTCATCGTCAGGCGGATTTCCTCACAGCAGTGATACAATGTTTGTCATTTACAAAGCAATGTTTCTGAACATTTATTTTATAGTTGTAACGTTGATGTAAACCGTTATTTCAATTTTGCTTGAAGAGAACTACAGTATCAGTGATTTTCGTGCATTTAAACGCGACATTATAGATTTTCTCGGCAGTATGTTTTCACAGTGAAAATTCTTTTGCATGATATTCGATTTAGAAAGCAAATTTTTTCTTCGTATTTATATATACTGGCATATTTCGTTTGATATTTGAGAAAGTTTAGTGGTAACTACCGTGATTTAAATTTTCCTTTGAGTCAACAATCAGTGATTTTCGAGTTAAATGTACCAAAGGCAACCTCGTTTTGTACATAAGAGCATAGATTTTCAAAGGGCATGTTTTGGCAATGACAATTTCACTTAAAATTTTCCATTGGGAAAGCAGTCTTTCTCAGCATTTTGTTACTATATATACTAAGTGTTCATGTAACTATAGCGTGATTTAAAATTTCACTTTGAGTGAACTGTCAGTGTTTTTCCAAAATTGTACAAAGGAACTGCGACCGACTTTCAATCAGCTGCATGCAATATGCAATTGGAATCGGATTTCTTTGTACTATTTTCGAGTTTTGAAAGCATTGGCTTCTTATAATTTATGTACTAGCAAATTTTATTTGATTTTTGAGAATTTTTTATGGCTAATCTATAAACCCTTTGTTGATACTTAGTGATTTTCTAACGACCTCGCGCTGCGGTCTTTATAGGATTTTGATACAGCATGGCCGATAACAATAATACTCTGTGCGTGAAACACAGAGTATTTGAACATATAAATTGAAGTGTAACAAGTGAAAAGTAAAAACCTATAAGCCACAGTAAAAATTCAGTTACGATTTTTTGACGAAAGAAACGGTACATGGAATTGCATGCCGGTTGAATTAAAGTAAAATGAACAACTTGCATGGGAGTGTCCCAATTTTGAACGCCAATGTTTATCAAGATTTCTGTAAATTGCAATCAAACCTCAATTAAAAAACGTTAGATTTGTATAGAAGTATTTAAACGTCATATAATGTTAAATATATTTTTGTTATAGCTATAGTTGAGCACAGGTGAAAGAAGGTCGTTAAACGACAACATAATATTGTATTAGGGGGACTTCAGTAAAAACGCAGCTGTAAGATTTAATCTGATAAATAGAATAACATTTATTGTTAAAGTTCTAGTTTTTAAATGTGTTGTCTTATTTTGAATCTTTATCATTTAAATGTTCACTATTTGTGATTCGTGATGTACTAGCTGTACATCAATATACAAAAGACATAAAAAATATTAGGTGCATGCATGGGGTCATGCAGATTCAGACCAAATGAATAGTGTTGCGAACGTATACTAAAACTTGCTATTGCCGAATGTTATCTCATTTTCTTTTCGGTACAGTTGCGATTAATGTGTTGTTATATAGTTGCGATAAAACACATTAGTGATATGTTTTAACTTTTATATTATATACCCCAATATAACGCATGTTTCAATTGGCAACGGCCATCGGTACACGCATGAGTTAATATAATCATGCAGACTGAGTATTGGCTGACATATTTTTGAATAACTTTCAGTGCTATATCTTTTCAGCAGATTGTTTTAGTCAAAAGGGCTTACATTTATATTGCTCAAAAGAGCTTACATATATATTGCTAAGTTGGGGTAATTAGTTCAGGGCCTCCAGGGAGAACAGATTTATGCATGTTGATGAGTTACCCTGAATAAATAAAGCTTCTATGTCTATCTATAAATATATGCGTGCTAAAACTTCAGATTAAAACAAATATTTAAAATCATGAACCATGCATGCAATAAAACTAACTATAAAAACATTCTGTGAGCCTTACTAAGAGCATGCCAATAATTTATGTAGTTATACCTCTAAATATTTAATTTTACTGCCTTCATCATATCGCGAGTTTGCTTACTTTACAGCAAAACTCTTTTTCCATGGAAAATAAAAAGTACATTAATTCCTATTGGTCGGCAGCTGCGGTGTGAGAGATACGACTATTCGGCTTGAAGATATAAACGTTTAGAACTTCTACGTTTCGAGCGTATAGGCCCATGCATGGGAACGTATAGTTATAAGTATATATAGCCCGAAGAAAGGCCTTCACTTGAAACGTCAAAGTTCTGTTTATATTTTTCATGCAGGTAGTTGTATCTCTCAAGTCTCGTTTCCATATGGTCGTAACGGTCATAAAGATTGAGTCGCGATCTTTCTTATCTGCCGAAATACAACATTTTATTGTAGAGAACTGAAAATACGTGGAGACGGTGGAGTGATTATAACTATAAAGAATACTTACGATTTATATGTGGTTTACATGTATATAATTATAAACTATTAAACTGTTGTCTGTTGCCGCCGCTATATCTACACTGGCAGCGACCGTTTTGTGTTGGTCAGGTAACCTGCATGCAAACCTCTCTCAATCATTAAAGTAAAATTTCTCGACATGAAAGCCGAACAGCCATGCAGCAATTTTCAACCTGTATATACAGCAGATTTAATTATGAGGTCATCCCAATACCTTATGATATACATGCATAGCGCCAACTGAACAAGCTCAAAATATCTAATTTCCATCCGGAATCTTAAGATTAGAAGAATATAAGAGGACACAAAGTTAAACTTTTCAATCGTCATCTATCCCTCTGAGTCTTGTGTTTGTCACATCTTCAGTATAATTCAAAGATGGATCTTATAAATGGAGTTTGTTTCGTGAAGAATGAATCTATATATATATATATATATATATATATATATATATATATATATATATATATATATATATATATATATATATATATATATATATATATATATATATATATATATATATATATGCATGCATGCATGCATGCAATGACTCACAAGAAAATTAATGTTCCATAAAAAAAACAGTTTACCTCTATCGTTCTTCAATATAATTGCTGAATGTATTTTCATTTTCAAAGAATTATCAATCATATTTAAATTGCATCTATATTGAAGCTTCATCAGGTCAGAAAGGAGAAAAATAACATTTTGAAAAGCGGCTTCAGCGCAAAGATGTATTTAACACATGTTGTATATAGATGCAGTATAACGTACGGCTAGCATAAGAACGCTTATATAAACTTTACTTATCACTTTCATTTTGTGTGCTAGCATAAACTCAATCATGATTTTTTAAATAATGCTTCATGCATGCAAGTCATACCGTGGTACTATATCTGAATTATACTAAATCAAGATTTAAAATAATTTGTTTCTTCAACTGTGTGCAATTCCAACCTATATAACTTGATGAAACAGTTTTAATCTATAATATTGGACTTCATAATGTTATATACATGAACGCGTCTGATATTATACTGATAGGTTGCATTGAAATTAAGGGTCAAGCTATAGGGCCTACATCACATTGTCATTGATTAGACCGCATTGATTCAATAACAAATTCATGTTTCCTAGATACTTAATGCCTCATTCTAGCCAATTGTTACATTATTTCTATTCTTATAATTAGAAAGGAAAAGCATGCTTGACATACTGAATTCGAGCATGCATGTACAAGACAGTACAATGCATTTGTACATGCAGGTTTTTTAAAGTGATGTCATTTCATGTCCGTAATAATAGTTCGCCATGAAGTATAATTTTTTATATGCATGCAACTAATTACAAAATATTTTTTTATTTGCATGCAACTAATAAAAGAGCTAGTGTCAGAATTTACTGACTGCCATGCAGATATATATATATATATATATATATATATATATATATATATATATATATATATATATATATATATATATATTTCATTTCTGCATGTTACTATTATAAATACATTTCTACTATTATAAATGATCATCTGATTGCTGGCGTTCAGAAAACATTTTAATTATAATATTGAACGCAATGTGTTAAAGTTTGTATTGGCCACTATATAGTCACTGTTTTGAGTTAGGTAAGTGTTTTTAAAAAACGTTATTCAAACATTTCACTGTTTAATTAAACTGATAAATGAAATTTCGTATGAATTACATATGTTTCAAATAATGTTTCATGTAGTCTGGTCTGTATATCAGGATTCTAGATGTACGAACGAATCCAAGAACGGGACAAAAATCAACGAGACGAAAGTAACAGAATGAGACTCAAGGTGATATATTTCAATTTTCAATATTGTTACTGATTGAATTCATTTTTGAAGTTCTTGGTAGTACAAAGAATGTATATTGTATCATGAAACCTTGATATCATACAGACATAGATACTTAACGGATGTATAATTATACAACAAAAGTCATACAAAGCTGTCATATATAATATTATGAATTTCACATGCACTGCGGAACCATTATTTGTAGTTTCCATTTAGTTCAGTCAACATTTACTGTGGTTATTATACAGCAGCATGTAACAGAAAAACCTATGACTATATTATATAGAATTGAATCAAATATTCTCTAATGCAAAGTATATGCATGCATGCATGCAACAACATGTGATTTTGTCACAAGACCTTTAAAGCATTTTAATTGTTAAATTATATTTCTATGCATAATTGTACAGTTATAAACAGCGTATAGGCATATTTGTTCCACGATATGGGAAATGAACATATTGTCGTAATTGCTTACTGCAGATTTTGTGAAATAACTACTTTCCCAGATGGAACGAATTTAATGTGCGGAATATACAATAAAACTGCATGAGTTACCAAATTAGTTTAGTTCACTGAAGCGGTTCTTATAGTAGTGGCATAAACTTAATAGTGGCATAAAATCGAACAGTCTGTGTATAGGTATAGTGACCATATCACCATGCAGGAAGCTGCGGATTGAGAGCTAGAGTTCAACTACCTGAAAACTACAATTAAAACTTTGAAAACTTGGACGTTTCGAGCGACGGCCTTTCGTCGGGAAGGGTTTTCGCTAGAAACGTCGTAGTCAATGTAGGCCTGCTTGTATTTTATAGGCAGTTGAGCCCTAATTCTCAACCGCAGCATTCTGGTAATAATGGTATACTCTCTAATTATTTATACTCTGATTAGATTTTCATAATTCAAGCTATATTTATCTTCAGTGTAATAATACAGGAATAGACCATGATCGATAATGTTACTGGCATTTGTTACCACAAACCTACAAAAATTGCTAAATAATGCCATGCACGTATCAATTTGTCCCATTAAATTGAGGAATTTAGGTGCAAATAAATTATATATAGGTGCAAATTAATCAGAGACACACTTAGTTGAGTATTTTTCTGCCTATATAGAGTTGATAATTATTATGTCATATAGATTATAGGCTACGGAAGTCACACAATCATCAACTATCTCTATTATCAGTCTCACTCTATGAGCTTTTTAGTTATTCAGGACGTCAGTACTAATATCCTTCAAAATAGATAAAAAATAATATTCTCTTAAAAAATGTAAATATTGACCATAATATATATAGAGGGTACGAAATAAAGTTGTTGTTGTTAATCTGGAGTAAGAGAAATCAGTCGATGAACACAAGTCAACATGTATAATCTTTGCATTGTATATATATAATTTATTTTTTCCTTATACATGCAGCCCAATAAAGGCCATCGTTTTTTACCCACGATACATGGTATTACAACATGAAAAATAAACCCGGAAAAACCCTGCAGTGATTGAATGGAGTGAGTCACAGTATTGTTTATAGCACACTCTTGCGACTGAAGCGAACGACGGTAGAATATTAATTCAATCAGCAACTTACTACATGCAGGAATCAACCTCCAACGTAGATGTGGAAAGCATGCATGTACTATGTAGACGGTGAAAAATGGGGTGTTCGGATCACGATTCATGCTCACGTGACGAAAAACAGCCAGTTCACGTTTCACATTCAAAACCCGACATTTCAGGAAATTATAAAAACAATTTTGTAACTGTAAATTCTTATTGTATTTTCTATTATGCGGATTAACGTTATCGAAACTAATTTCACCAAAAGTTCAAAATTCAATGACTAGTAAACACCAATAAAATCTATATTTTCAGCAAAACTGCTAGCTACCTGCATCCAAAGCTTACAGCTCACGACTATAGGATGTAAATCAAGTTAAACAATACAAAAGTCG